AGGCCGCTCTGCTCCCTCTTTTTATTTGGTCGCTGCGCTTCTTTCTTAAAGCTCTGCCGATTTATTATAACTATTTTTTTTTTTTTTTTTACCGCGTACCTGGACACCGATCGCTTCAAACGTCAAGGCCACCGTTTTTTTTTTTTTAGTCGCTGCGTTTTCTTCTCGAGTACGCCAACTTTATATTCCAATCCACCTCACGATGGACCGTAGCCGACGCTACGAGTCATCGAGACCAATTGAATCGCGCGTGAGTGTCACGTGAGGTTCGGAAGAGGCGCAGCAACGCAGTCACGTGATCAGCTCACGGCGCCGGATTGGCTACAGGATGGCTCGTAGCGTTCTCTGCAGTCCGTCCTTAGTCGAGAAACGGAATAGGGACGGGAGAATGCGCGAGTAGGTACCGCGCTCGTCCACGTTTCGGGTGCAGGGGGCTGAATTAGGACTGCGCCGCCGAGCGGAAAGTAATAGCCTTCGATGCCGGTCTCGGAGAGACAGATGCGCGTCGTTCGCCGATTCTCCGGTGCCGTTCCTCCCGGCGTAATAACGCACCCACTATATCAAGTCCGATAAGCTTATCAACGTAATGGATACCTACACGGCGTCCAGCTCGGTTTCTCCCTCCGCGCGCTTGTGCGTCGAAGCCACCTCCGTCCGAAGCGGTCCCTCTCCCAGCGGACGCCGGACACGCAACTAATTCGACGACTTGTTTTCCTGTGCGTATGGGACGAGGCCATCCATTTCCAGCAGACGTCCGCACCACGACCAGTACAGGGAAGGGACGCCTACCGTCGGCGTTCCTCCTCGCACCCTTACAGTCGGGGCGATGCTACGTCCTCGGGTGGTCCACTCCGACTGCCGGCTTCGTATACCACGGGACTTTCTCTCGTCACCTTTGTGCGCTCGAGCAGAGAGTGGTCACGTGGTATAATGTCGTCGACTGATTCGTTATCCGAGCACGAGGCTACCCACATCGCTGTCAGCTCCGGGGATGAATGGAAGTAGCGGGGAAAGTGAAGGAGGAGGCCGAACAACTCTTTCTGCGGTGCCGACGGAGCATTTGCGAACGCTTCGGGAGTCGTTCGAGGATTGAGCCGTGGTTTGGGGGGCTCGTGGAAGGAGATAAGCTCATTTGGAGGTCAGGCTGCGATCCTAAATCTCGTTCGTTGCGTGCCATCACATCCGGACAAGGTAGAGAGAAGGAAGGGGAGATGTGGCGTCAAGGGTTAGTAGCGTGGACCGCGAAAAATTCAAATGGCCATTCCTTTCCCGAAATCGTCGACTCGAATGGTGCGTGCACATTTGAAGTTCACTAACACGATATCGCACGAACCGTCCGGTTGGCTGAAAAAAAAAAGCGTCGATCCTTTCCGAAATTACCTACGTCAACGTCCCTCGGCGTCTGCCTACGGGCACTGGCAAAGCCTTTGAGAGGTCGCAACGAGGTGCACAAGAGAAACGCGACTTAAAATTGACTCATTTTACTCGCCAGGGGTGCTGCTCAAAACTTGAGAGCTAGATATCTATATTCTTGCAACCTTTAGGACGTTTCACAGCCCAATCCGTGGACTCCAGTCGACCTGTTCACTTCCCCGCTTCCCTCGGCAGGGGACCTCGCACCGAGGTCGCGACTTCGAACTAGGTACTACTTTCGGCAGCTCCATAGAGTTTGTTTTACGACCGGTAATCGCGGCTTCGTGTATTCGTCACTAGCTTTTGCGGAGTTTAGATTCGTTAGCGATCGCGCCTGTTTTCGCGCACCACTCGTCATTGCCACCGACAAAACCCAGTTCGGCACTCCCACCCTCACATATAGATGAATATAGATGTGCCTTGTTAATATTGCTTTCTGCATATCAGGATTAACGACTGGTCACAGTCGAACATAATGTGGACAAGCAGCCTCGCTAAAAGGTATTGCGGCCTTAAGCGGCCATCACGAAACCCGAGTCGCGATAACTCGCGCTGCAGAACCCAGGGAACTTGGGCTCCAACCCCACCGCTGTCCGTTTCGACCTGGACGAGTATTGTACTGGCGTGCTGTCGAGTATCTCTAGTGCGAGATGCACGTTAAAGAACCCACGCTAGCAGTTATACTGCGCTGGCTGCATTCATCGTCTTATAAACTATAGTGTCCCCATACTTCAAAGGCAGACCTACAAGCTTAAGCTATGCAGACACAAACGTATACTTTTTGTTGTAATTCGTGTTGATGCTTTATTGCACAAAGACGTTGCTGCGCTTCCGTGCTGGATCGGCAATGAGAATGTCCACACTTTCGTTCTTTGTTGAAGGGAGACTACTGTGCAGGTGTTCTAGGCCCTAAGTTTTAGATATCAGCGACACAAACAACATGAAAGCATCGTGGGGCGGTAATTCGTGAAGCGAACCAAAGCCAGGTACCGAAATAAAGGCAAATTTCATATCGACACTACGCCTCTGGGTTGTTTACCGAACAATCCCGAGAGCTCTGAAAATCTTAGAATACTTTTAAAACGCTTCAGAATACGTGAAAACTAACCTCGGTTTTAAAACGAGAGAGAGAGAAGGAGGAAGAATCATCCCGATAAAACAGAAGTGGAATTGCTTACGATTAAATTTCGTCGGTTCATAGACCTCCCCATGATTGAACTAAAACCACGTTCCTACTCTAATAGGATCCCTTGTGCATATGAGCGACTGGATGCTTCACAGTGACCCTAGATTATATTAAAACGATCCGGAATCTGTTTTTCATCTGGGATGTTTCTTTATGCTGGATATCTCACAAGCTTTGGCTCTAGGTCTCACGATTTACGCAGATTACCATAAGGTAGGCGCGAACCATGCGTCCACAATCAGGAGCGCAGAACACACAAATTACAGACCCCCTCCATTACAGAGACGGGAAGAGTTGCAAGGTTGTGCAACACTTCCTACAGAACTCTGCCATATATCATTCTGATGCCAATGCGCGGCGTTTATCGCATAGGCTGCAGGTGCCTCGGTTCTCCAGCAGCGGCAGCCCGCGCGGACGAGCCTCAGATGAAGCCGAGATAAGAAAGCGCCCTGCCGACATGATGCGAAGCCCCGCGCATCCACTGGGCAAGCATTCATGCGCAAGCCTATCGAACCATCAATCCTCATTTGAAGCGAGCATGAACCCCGCGCAAGAAGACGCACGACGTCCATAGCGAACATGCGGGTCCGTTTCATACATCATCCGGGGCACAGCGGCTCTGACAGTTTCCTGTTTCTTCGAGTCCGCGCCCGGTGCGCCGTCGTTTAGAACCCCTAAACGTTTCTTCGCACTTGGTCTCTCCGATGCCCCCCCCAGGATCGGCACACTTGACCACAGTCCGTTGCTAAGACAATAAAACAAACAAAAAAGTGGGGGCGGCTGATAAGCATTCGGCAAAACGCTTCGTCTGCCTACTTCCTGAGCCAGCTTTAGACAGTCTCCACTCTCTCCCACTCTCTCCCTGTCTTTTTTTCGTTTATTGCGAGGATGCATTTCTCACACGTGTCGCAAAACGCAACAAGCCCTTTGGACGGTGTGGGACGTTGCCTCACTCGCTGAAGCGCTGGTCTTGCCCGGGGGGGGGGGGGGGGGGGGGGGGGGGGCGAATACAAACACGCATAAATATGCCCTCCGATGTACGCGTATGCCAAAGGCTCGGTGGAGAGGAGGGTGAGAGGGAGCGGGAAGGAAGAAAAGGGAGGACGTCTATCCGACGGGGTATGGTTCGGCATTGGCAGATTAATTGGCATCGGAGCCAGAAAAGCCGTCATTACGCCAAGAGAAAGAAAAGCCATGCGGGCGCCCCGGGGCACGCATCTAACTGTGGTGGTCGGTAATTCCTCTCAAATAGACCGAAGAAACCGAAGAAATGGCTGCGAAACACTGAGACGAGGGGAGCAGCGTGTGTTTGCGCTCGAATCCGGTATGCCCGCTCGCTGCACGGACAACAATTCTGACGCGGAGGCAATTGATTGAAGTGGGAGCTTCGGTTTTGGTTGCCTAAGCGAGTTTCTCGCTCGAACGGAAGACGAAAGGAGCGGCGCGGCAAGTACCTGCTGCAGGTTGCCGTCGGTAATGGCCAAATTGCAGCTTTTAAGGGGTCTCTCGTTGAGGCTCCCCACCCTCTGGGCTGTTTGAGCAGGGCGCAAATTTGCTTCGACCTTGCGCACACTTTGTAGCTATTCGCGTGCTCTGGGGCGGCCCCTTCTTCGGCGCAAAAGGATAAGGAGGCATTGGCAACAGGCAGTACTAAAAGAGACAGCTTATCTCGGTTTCTTTGAAATTTTTTGGAGGTGGGCAAACGTTGCTTTTCTTATAAATTTCGCTATTTCGAATACCGGTTCTATTTTTGTACTCTTTGGAGATGCAAAATATTTTACTCCTTCATTACCACCTAACTCCGGTTTAGCGACCCTGTAGCAACGAGCGTTCCTTTTCTGGAGGTGTGCGTTCACGAGGAGATTCCATATACAAGTTACAATTTTTAGACTGTGTTTGTCTCTTGAGATTTGCGTTGAGATTTTCAGGCGCTGATGTCCCTTTCCAATATCTTCGTGCCATGCTCCTCCTACGTTTCTGCGTTGGTGCTTTTTCTCAGCACCCAGAATGTTTCGTGCGCGTCTCCTCCAGTGTTGTTGGAAAACTGGCACGGTGTGTCCGCTAGCCCGTCGACATTAATGCGCCGCTCCTTTCTCCGTTTTAGTGCCCTTGAACAGGCTGTCTCGCACTCTATTCTTTTAGCTCGTTCCAGCTCATTCTTCTGGTCGGTAACTGTTGCGCCTCCATTGCCGGCGACATATGTTGGTTGAAAAATACGTGTCACCTTGTACAGCTAAGGATCTCTGTTGATAAACGCACCAACTTCTTTCAGCTGCAACCGTCATTTAGTATCCTGCCGTTAGTCGTGAATTAGCGCGGTAAACCGTTTTGAGACAAATCAGGAAGCAGAAAACTGCTGTGTTCGTGCCGAAGCCAACCACCCCTTCCTCTCCTCCGCCAGGTTCCCCGACGCAGTCGTCCAGCCCCCTGGACTACCGGTGCCACGCGAGCCCGACCCGACCGACCACGTCCCCGCGAGAAGCCATGGGCTTATCCGACCGCGGAGACCCGCCCTGCGCCAACGAAGGTCCACAGCTGCCCTCCGTCCAGACGAACCCCAGGACCGCGACTCCGGCTTCTAGCGACGCCCTCTGCCACCGCATCACGTCCACTTCCCTGACCGGCGGTGGCCGCTTCGACCTGGTCGCCACCGCGGACGACGGTGACAGATCCTCGGCGCGCAGACCCACGCCTCCGACGCCCGTCGCGAACGCGGTCGCGAATCACCATCATCACCATCAGCAAAATCAGCATCAGTCGTCCCACCAGTCACACCAGGGACAACATCAGCAGCAGAACCACACGTCGTCTTCTGGGAGGGCTTCCATGCTGATGAGGCCGGACAGTCCGCAAGAGATGACGGACGACTTCCCCAAAAGGAAGCAGCGACGGTACAGGACTACCTTCACCAGTTACCAGCTAGAAGAGCTCGAGAAGGCCTTCTCGAGAACGCACTACCCGGATGTCTTTACAAGGTAAGGGACTCCACTACCCTATACGCCCATAGAAACGGTAGTAAATTTTTCTCAATTGCATTCTGCTTGGAGCGATATCTTATCTATAAGGGTACATTGTACTCGTAGTAGCCGAAACGGTCTTGCAGAAGTTGCGATTAAACAAATATATTTATTTTCATTTTTCTAGCACCTTTAATTTTCAAGGTACCGGGATAATACGAAATCGGAAAAAAAAAATGAAATTGACTAGTTACGCACACTTTAGCAACCCTGTCAGAACATCAATAACGCCGTCTCATGACATATGAATATGCATGTATATTAAAGATGACGTTAAAAGAATATCCAAGAAACTGAACGGGCTTTTCCTCTAAGACCGAGAGCATACTGTTGGAAGTTTGTGTTGGTCCGTCGCTCCTCGTTTTCTTCCTCAAGTTTAATACTGCAGTTGTAAAGACTTCTCTGACTACTTCAGGAAATGTAGTAGCTAGACGCACAACAAACGCAACTGCTCCGAGCGCCGCTGTTCGAAATCGGAAACCTATTTAGCATGCAGATGCCGTAAGTGCTGCACGAATATAACCATCCATGACGGTGGATTTTGCTAGCCCCACTTTCTTGTCGTTCGAGCTTTTCAAGAACATTTTACATATGTGTACACAGTGAAACGGTGGTACGCATTACGCATCAACTTGATGACCGTCTTCAGCTATCTAAATGTTACACGTCGTCAATATAGCTCGCAATCAACTGATCGTCGACAGGATCCCGAAGTTTTGTGGTGCACAGTGAATGTTGATCATCGAGCGATTGAAACTTAGCAACGCGCACGGTGGCGGCGGCAAGTGATTGCACAATGGACTTCCTGTTTCCGCCAGCTCCGGTGAATTTATCTCCAGCCGCGGTAATGAGAGCGTGAACGTCGCCGCTGCATCGCGTCCGTTGTGCCCTTTTTAGTGTTTCCAAGTTTCGTGCACATGCGAGGTTAGTGACGAGTTGTCGCTGGCTGTGGCAATAATTTCTGGTACTGTTCAAACTAGAAAACCTACAACTCGGTTGCTGCAGCTTGCAAGCGTATAAGGTAGCTGCACGCAAAATGAACGCCACGGGTTTTTACTCGATTTTCTGAGGTGTTAACGATGTGAACTCAAAACGTGGTCTTACCTTGTTGTTTTTTTTCGTTTTCGTTCTGGTACAAAATAATATTACCAGCCAGTCGTTTTCTTAGGGTTTTCATTAAAGCCGGTTCTCCTTATGCAGTGGAGCGCTAAAGTAGTGCTGTTCACGTGTCGTAGGCTACTTATCGTCTGCCATGAGCAACCGTTTTGACAGTTCGTTACAAATCTGGTGAATATTCCCATCAGCACTCGCTTAGCGCAAAGTCAGCGCTGCGCTTATAGCAGTACGCTGCATGTGTGAACAGGCATTTGGTGTCCACGCCCTAGCAGCACACTTCCCCGGCTCATACTTGGGCTAGTGTGGCACAAGTTTGTGCGAGGCTTGAGCTAATTTGGCTCTAGCTCGTGCCAGTCTGGCCCAAGCCTGGGCCGAGGAAGTGTGCTGCTTGGGCGGCGTTATTTAGAAAGATATTACCACAATATTACAGCGCAAAAAAAACAACAAAAACAAACAAAGGTACAAAGGTTTCTTGATAAGTTTAGTTTTCACCATGATGATGATAGGACGGTGTGTCGTCGGTGAGGCGATTGCTGCGTGTGAATGAGTTATGTCTCGGAGACGGGTTTGCTCAAACGTCGAGGCTCTACGGATGTCACGAGCCTGCCGAGGCTTGAGTTCGACCAGGCTCAACTTTCTCGATGTTGTTAACGTAAGTTCTACAAAACTTCGAGTGAAGCTCAACTATTATGCGCGTGCGTGGAAATAAATAACGAGCTGATGCCACCTGGCGCTGGAGAGTAGAAAGCTAACTAAATTATTAGAATAGTATCTCGTTCATTTTATATGGCCTAAACGTTAGAAAATAATTTCTAGGTTTTAAGATGAGGTATCATATAAATCATGTTTGCCAAATTTGGCATTTTTTCTAGAAGTTGGGGAACGCTGTCCAAAATTATAACTTGGTAAAAATTGACCAAAAGTTCAAATGTTCCACGAACTAGTCGAACTTGGGGGTTCGACGTCGAACCTGAGTTTCGAAAAGCGACATTCCTAGTCAAGAAGCCGGGGAAAGTCGCTCCGTGTGAAGCCGACCGAACGGAACGACAAAGGCATTACGACTGCAGTGTGAGCTCGAGCTTAGGTAACATCCAATATGATCGAAACACAGTGAACAAAAATAAAATACAGAAATCATCATCGTTCTCCGTTTAATGTCTCCAAGAGTGTGAGCGGCACTGCGAACAGATATCCAAAAACCAGATCTGTGGCAGAACAGCCTCTACCGATACATATGTACTACCACACCCGCAATTCGCTCGCTGAAGAAGCCTTGAAGAAACGCCTCGAACACCCATGTTATTTTGCGGCTATCCACAACAGATGTGAACGTAGTAATGTTGTGGTTTGTGACATCAAGCTCTGGCTTTTACCTTTCAGCTCAGAGGATCCCGAAAACGTATCTTATTCTCGCTGTCCTCCGTGCAACACGCGATGAAACGCAAAACGGAGATTCACGGGCTCGCACATAGCAGGAGTGAGAATGCAACAGACATACACAAGATTACACTCGAACATCTAAATGCATAACAAACATTCTGAAAAAAAAATGGGAAGAAAGAAAAGCCATTTTTGTCCTCTGCTACAGGCTTTGAGCGGTATAAAAATGCTTCGGTGTGCATTTTTAGTCATAATTTCTGCTTGTGCGTTTCGCATGTTAGCCTGTAAGAAGGCCAAAATTGTTTGCGTGCGTTTGTGCCCGGTGCACGAGCACTCGCTTCATTTTCTCTCTCTCACTCTAAAAAAAAGTGCCATCAAGAAAAAAAAAAGATAAAGAAGAACGCACCTCCTTGCGCTCTATACGGCGAAGCTAATTACAGGTATTAGAAGCCGCGAAATTAAGATCTATCGCCTCTCCGACCAACTTATGCGTGCGGCCAGTTGCTCGTAATGAGCGGTCACGGCGTGCGTTCGCCCAGAAAGACACCCGGTCATTACAGAAAAAAATCCACAGTAAAAACACAAACAAACACGCACAAAAAATAAGACATCCTCCAAGAAAGTCAAGTGTGGCCTATTGTCAAGAGAGTTGCCTGCTTATTGTAAACATCGGCGATTGTGGGCACCCCGTTTCGTAAGGACGTGCGGTGTTACCTGTTCGAGTGGTTCCCGGGGTCCACAATATTGTGACGCGAGCGCGCCGCCGCAAGAGCTTTGAAGTTAACCCGCGATTCTTCATGCACGCTTCAATTGCGTCCTTAAGTGCGGCCGTGATGGATTCGCGCCTCTTAAAGTTTAGTACCGCCACGGACACAGGCATCACACCCTTCACTGCTCCGATGGATATCCGCGAGAGTGTGTGTGTGTGTGTGCCGGTGGGTTCCGCGTTGCCGAACCACACAATAATGCGTGCTCAATAACGCTTTTAGTGCGTTTTTGTTTCTTCTCGGTCGCGCACAATCGGCGATAAATCTTGTACCGAAAGCATAAAATACGTTGGAGTCGGTTTCAGGAGGAAGGGGAATCACGGTCTCGTCAATTTGCGCTGGTGCGCTCGCGAAAATGCCTGCCTAAATTGAGGGCAGAGATTGAACGATACACGAAATGAAAACGAGCCGCTTAGCTGGGCTTTCGAAATGCAGAGTGCGTTTGTTCCGCTCGAAATTAAGTCACAAAGGAACGGGACGCGTTTCATATATTTTTCTTTCTCATTTTTCATTATGATCTGACCATATTCCTCAACGTAGAAAACGGGACATCCCAGCCGCGGCGGCGGGAAAGGGGGGGGGGGGGGGGGGGGGAGGGGCGTACTAAAGCTTGAGTTAGGACGAAAACTTTAATGAAAGAACTTCTCTTATTTCATAACGTTCGCATATTGCACTAAGCCCTAGGAAACAGCCATACTCACACTTCAGTTGCATGCACTCATTTGGAAGGTCCTGCTTCGGGTCCTTCGTTGGTGTGGGCGTAATTTGCCAACGACGGAAGTTTTCTAAGCAGGACTTTATCCTGCAAGACTCGGTTGTAAAAGTCTGCGCACTTTTGTGGGAAGTTCAACCGCACAAGTAGCATTGCTCGCAATGTCGAGACAAGAAGGCGAAACTTCTCGCGTGTCCACATGAAGTTCATGATTGAAAAGACGCGCTTCACTGGAGACGTGCTTCCAGAGAAGCACAGAGCCATTCCCACGACCCGGGAAATCTCGGCGCAGCATACATTCTGTTTTCATCTCTTTAAAGACGTGCACCCATCTTTCAGAGACCTGAAGAGTTCCTCTTCTAGTTTCGTTTCAATGCTTTTCTTGACAAGGGTCCATTGGTGAACACACACGTACGTTTCTTCGGCATTTTCGAAAGAGGGAAATGCAGCCAAACGAGATTCTACATGCGTGCTATATCCAGCAACTAATATTTGTTCTATATCGGGTGCAACTCACGTTAGCACAAGCTCGACTCCACGGACATAACGTCAGGCTACAATGGATACCGAGCCACTGCCAAATCGCCGGAAATGAAGAGGCTGATCGCCTGGCAGCTCAAGCTCACGATGGTGACGCAATGGAAGCGACATCCTTTACTTCTGGAGATGCAAAATTCATCCTTCGTCACTTACGCCATCTACGTTGTCGGCAGTGCTGGCTAAAGGACACTTCAGCAAACACTCTCCTACCATATATCGACCCGGATTTTGAGCTTCCGCCACACACCGGGATGAAAAGAAAATACGACGCATTAATCCATTGACTCAGACTTGAAGTGGCCTTTACTAATAGCTTTTTATTTCGAATTAAACGCCGAGATTCGCCAAGATGTGACTGTGGAGAACCATATCAAGATGTACAACATATCCTCCTTGACTGTGAACGCTTTCGACATGAAAGGCGCCGGATGGAGATTCGCCTT